CCATGTGAGGAAGACTCTGGGCTCCTGAGTGACCATGTCAAAGAGCACAGTACTTCCCACCTGAACATGCACCCGGCACTGTTATGTGGGAAAATATGTAATGATATGATGCTGAAACATAGCGGTTATTTGGAAATTCATCATAAACTAACATACCTACAAAAGGCTTAAATCACAGGATTAATTTAAATAGTGATCAATCTACTACACTTAAAATGATCAAAGTGGGGCTGGGGGTGAGGGAGGAGTCAGCAACAAAACTGGATTGGACAACAGGAGATACTGTGCTGCTTTTACTGAATGGAAAAAATAAAGGAGGATGAGACAAGCAAGAGACAGTGAGCTCAGTTTCAGGTATGTGGCTTTGAGTGGAAGCAGAGTGGTAGGAAGCTGCTCTAGGAAGCGGGTTCAGGGGCCTGGAGCATAGGAGCGAGGTCAGGACCGCGAGGGAGATTTGGGAGGCAGTCTTAGCAGTTGATGTCGGGGTAGAGTTGTCTTTTAAAAGGTCATTCACTTGATGCAGAAAAAAAATGAACTGGATAATTAAAATGCAATCTGATTGTTTTATTAGAGAGTCTCAAACATTCCACTAAGGCTAAGCAGAGAGAATTTTTAAAAACAGGTACAAAGACATTTCAGTGTCGTCAATTGAGGGAGTGATAGAGAAGAAAGAGAGAAAAGAAATGACATGTAATTCATATAAATAGGTCAAAGTGGAGAGAGTGCCATTTAGTGTTTGCTGAGTGCCACTAGCCATTATGATGTTAATTTCAAAGAAGCTGATCACACATCCTTGCAACCCATTTTCTTATCCAACCTTTTAGCATGAAAAATTTCAAACATACAGGAAAGTTGAAAGAATTTTACAGTGACACCTACCTATCCATTACCTAAACTTTACAATTAAAATTTTACTATACTTGCTTTGTTATGTATCTGCCCATGTATCCATCTATTAAGTCATATTATTTATTTGACACATTTTAAGTGAGTAAGATGCAGAGATCAGTATATTTATTCCAATTACATCCACATATGCATATTATGAACTGGAGTCGAACATTTGCTTTAAGTTTTCCAATCTATTTTTTTCTTATAGTATTTTTTAAAGTCCGTATCCAATTCCCTCTGTTGGAAAACGGATAGCACTGCATTTTTACTTTATATATAGTGTTTGTGAAAGCTGCTCTTTTGCCCCCTTCCTGTTTGCCCATTTCTGTTCCCCTTTAGCCTTGAAAGAACCTAAGTATAGGAATAAGGTCACTAGGCAATTTAACCTAACTCCTGACCTATGCTCTCCTGAATGCATACCATGCCTTGCTTAACCTATTGATTCTTTTCCCACAAGAAGGAGGAATGAAGAATTAAGTTGTTAAAGAGTAACTGGCTCTCTACCTCTAACAGCTCCCTTAGCAGTCCTGCAGGCAGATCATGTGGATATAATAACATCTGAAAAGAGAGTCAGCCAGTCTGCACACAATGGAGAAAGATGCAGAACTCAACCTCCTGCCTCAATGATTCCCCAGGATTCCTCCCCATTTTTGCGCTTTAAAAACTGTCATTGCTGAACAGAATCTCTGGAATTAGTCTTGGGATGTGAGTCTGCCTTCCCTGCAGGTTGTGGTGTTTCTGATTAAAGCATCTTTCCTTTCTACCATCACTTGCCTTTAGATTATTGACTTTTGAGCAGCGAGAAGTCAAACCTGAGCTTAGTAACATTTATGACTCTTTGGGGATGCCAATACCGAAGACTTTTACCAATAATTACACTTGATTAGATCCTTGAACATAGGGGCTGGCCACATTTGCCTATTTCTCTTCTGTTTCCTGCCACCTAGTATGTGGCTAGGCAAAAGGTAGGATCTCTAATTATTTGTTAAATGTGTTTTTGCAAAATACAGATGATATTATTTCTTGATCAAATGGAGTTAAGCTTAGGCCATGTCCTGGGCATACTTGGGACTACTAAATACCAAGAAATGCTCTGCAAATCTTTGCAGTTTCATGATGCCCTGACTAGTCCCTGAAAGAATAAACTATGTAGTGTTGCTTATTATAATAAAGAATTTGGAATCTAAATTTGTAAGTTCAAGTATTGCTTTTGCTTTAATGTGATCTCGGAAAAATCTCTTGGTCTGAGTTTATTCATTAAATTTGGTTGAGAGTTCCTACGTACATTTGATACCCTAGCAAATTTCAAATAAGACATTGCATGTAAAAGAGTTTGGCAACTGTGACCTTGCACACAACTGTCATCTATTATTTCACATTTGAAGGATGTGAAAAAACCAGCAGTCTTCCCTCCCAACTTCCCTCTTTTCTTTCCTTCTGTTACCAATTGCAAGGTGGTGTGCCTGACCCACAGTGAGGCTGAACAAATAAAAATGTAAGAATTTGGAGCAGAGAAAAGTTTATTGCTGGGCCAATGGCTTGTGCCCAAAAAGCCCCAAGCTCCTTGAAAAGTTTGAGCAAATCACTTTTAAAAGCCAGGTGAGGGCGTGGCTTCCCAGGGTATATGATCACCTTATGTACACTTGTGTGACTGATGCTGAGGAAATACAGCTGTTAATATTATCAACCCTTAGGTGCCAGAAGGTCTAGGGGTTACATGCTCATGATCATCAAGTAGTTAATTTTTTCCTTTCGGTAGTGGTTTTTAGCATTTGAAAAACTCAGGAAACATGCATGAGATACTATCTGGGCACTTCCAGAGGAGGTACAGCAGAAAAGCCCTGCAGGGTCCTGCTTGGTTACTAACTTGTCGGATAGCTTTTCTGGATTTTCAAAGTGGTTAACAATTAACTTCTAACTTGAAAACTTATAATACAATTGATTAACATCACTTTAATCTTATTTTAATTTACTACTTGGAGCTTCTTTAGATACCAATGATGTTTAAAAATGATTTTAATGCTGTTAAGAACAGGTAACTAAATTTCCTAAGTAAATAAAATAACTGTGGACTAAGAATGCCGCCTCCCATATCAAACAAAGGATGCTGTGGCTATGAAGCCATCAGCCATTGTAGTCACCTAGGCAGTGAGCCCTGAGGGAACTGAGGATGGAAACAGGATACTGGCTCTTGATAGCTAAGGTGCATATCAAAGGAATGGTTTCAGTGAGCCCAGACTCTTGAATCTTCCCATACATAGAGAAGTGCTAAATTCTTTAACTTGAGATATCTAGTTTCTTTAATTAACAGTAACCTTATAATGTTCCCACTACCTGGTCTTTATTGCAAAAACTCCTATATATCCTGGTTCCTCATTTACCTTTTCGGAGCAGTCCATTAAAGTCCTCATGAGACAGGAAGAAAGGGGGCAGGACACAGCCACTAAAGGAATGACACAACAGTTAGCACGAAGATGGCAGAAAAGTCAACTCCCAGTAGACTTTGAGGCCCAAAGAGGCAGGAGATTTGACTTCCAGTACACCTTGATCTTCATTATATGCTCACTGTGATACATTAGCATGGCAAATGACACACCCACAGGCTCCATGGCAGTTCCGAGGCTGAACATAAAGGTCAAAAAGTGAATGATGGCCCAATTCCTGGGCATCCCAGTCCCTTCCCCAAAGTAGTTGGAATAATCCTCCCACTCGATAGCATACGAAATAACCAAGCTTAGAAAAACTAACAATCCCCACACCTTGTGGCACCCTCCCTTTGGGTGAGAAAGACTGCACTCTACCTATGGAGTGTGTATCTACTTAAATAATCACCCACCCCATGCCTTGTGGGCTCTTTGGCCTTCTGAGATGGTCTACACTTGGTCTATAGAGTATGCATCTCTCCGAATAAATCTGCTTTACACTACTATGACTTGCTCTTAAATTATTTCCTGTATGAAGCCAAGTTCCCTTACTTGGCCAGGTGCATCCCAGGGACGCGCCTGAGACCTGGGACATGGCCATCTTCTCGCTCCCCATTTTCCTGTGTCACTCAGAAAGTCCGCCAAATAAAACATAATTCTCAACTTCTAGGTTGTGTATTTTTTTTCAGTTGATGTAGGGATAAGATTTACAAAGAGAAAAATTTTTATGTTGTATTAAGAGATTCTGTTATAGTGAACACTTGCAAACTTTTATACTAAAGGCGAGGACAAAATTTGCCTTTAAGAATTTGCTTGGGAAAGTGGTAGTTTATAGCATTAAAATCTGATTTTTTGTGTTTGTGCCAAGGATGTTTCCTTTTTATCTTTTTCCATAGGCAGCAATAGGGCTTGTTAAATATCGCTGAGTTTGACCTCCTGGGAGCTCTGGGTGGTGCACAGTATATGCACCCTTTGAATACAAATGCTGTTTGACTTATATGGTCAACGCAGAATTTTGGAGATTAGCATTTTAACCAAACCTAATCTCTTATCATTTTCTGATTCCCCCACCTCGCCATTTTGTGAAAAAAAGTTCAAATAATGAACTTTTGAAATGACAGCTACTGTTCTCTCATGGAGATGCATGGTCTCCATGAAACATAAACGTAGCATTACGTGTAGTAACCCTTCCTAAACCCTACGTCAAGCATATTGCAGTGTTCAACGTGATCCATTATTAAAGGAAAGAACGTTTCATTCAACAAATACTTACTGAAGAGCCATGCTTCTGCGGGCAGGTTGGAGGGGCTAGTGTATATGGCCATGATGTTATCGTACCTCTAAACTGAAAGTTGGCTTCTATTTTCCCCCCTCGTTTAAATTTTCTTTTTTGGGGGGGATGTGTCTCGCAGCTGCGGAGCTCTGTGGCCAGGGAGAGGCATTCATTTCCCGCCGCGGAAATTAGGGAGAGGAGGGGCGGGGCCTGGGGCGGGGCCTCGGGCAGGACAGGGGGCGGGGCCTCGGGACCCGAGTGGGACCGAGCGACTGTGCCGTTGGCGGCGCGGCAAGGGCGTGCGGGTTCCAGGGCGGGCACGGCCGCGGCGCGACGGACTAGCGCGGCAGGTGCGCGGTCTCACTTCCTTCAGCGACTCGCCCGCGG